AAGCGAGATGTGCGCTCATCGCTTGTGCGCCGTCCCGCCAACCCTGTGTTCCAGATCGTGCGACTTCGCAGACTTGCTTTGTTGCTGATGCAAGACCTGTCAGCTGCCATGAGCCGTTTGCGAACATGAGTTGCTAATCAGGCACACACATAAAGCGAGATGTGCCCTCATCGCTTGTGCGCCGTGCCGCCAACCCTGTGTTCCAGATCGTGTGACTTCGCAGACTTGCTTTGTTGCTGATGCAAGACCTGTCAGCTGCCATGAGCCGTTTGCGAACATGAGCTGCTAATCAGGCACACACATAAAGCGAGATGTGCGCTCATCGCTTGTGCGCCGTCCCGCCAACCCTGTGTTCCAGATCGTGCGACTTCGCAGACTTGCTTTGTTGCTGATGCAAGACCTGTCAGCTGCCATGAGCCGTTTGCGAACATGAGTTGCTAATCAGGCACACACATAAAGCGAGATGTGCCCTCATCGCTTGTGCGCCGTGCCGCCAACCCTGTGTTCCAGATCGTGCGACTTCGCAGACTTGCTTTGTTGCTGATGCAAGACCTGTCAGCTGCCATGAGCCGTTTGCGAACACGAGCTGCTAATCAGGCACACACATAGAGCGAGATGTGCGCTCATCGCTTGTGCGCCGTCCCGCCAACCCTGTGTTCCAGATCGTGCGACTTCGCAGACTTGCTTTGTTGCTGATGCAAGACCTGTCAGCTGCCATGAGCCGTTTGCGAACACGAGCTGCTAATCAGGCACACACATAAAGCGAGATGTGCGCTCAGATCATGTGCGCCGTCCTCCCGCCAACCCTGTGTTCCAGATCGTGCGACTTCGCAGGCTTTTTGTGTTGCTGACCTGTCACAGCTGCGGTGAACTGCTTGTGAGCTTGCAAAGGCTTGTGTGGAACTTGGTTCTCAAGCGTTGCGGTTGTCACAGTGTAGCTTCATCGCGGATATCTGCTTTTGTGCTTGCGCGCAACGCTCCCCCTAGTCCACAGAAATGATTTCATTTGATTGCCCGAGCTCCTCGGATGCATGCGCTGCCGCCTTCCCATTTAAAAATTTAATTCCCACTTCGTGCCAGAGATTAGCAACAGGAACATTTTACTTTGCCATGCACCCGTGTCCAAGCCTTTCAACTCTTGCAGCTTTGATCCAGGTTCGTGACGCCGGAGCATCCCGAGAATCCAAGAAGATATTTCGTCAGGCATAGGCGCGCCAACCAATGTGCTTCACAGATCTGGATCTGGATGGACAACATTGTGCTACTAATCGTCATGTGGTAACACATCCATAGTATGTCCTCTCGAGGAGTTGACAGCTATAAACCTTCAGCACGGGCAGGTCTAGCAAATAAGCCTGCTCAGGCTTGTAGTCTTGACAGTCTTGGGTTATTGGGGCGTGACTTAGTGAGTTGCCTCCATTCGATATGTCCGAACATCTCGTGACTCGTGGCATGCTCCGCTGAATATGAGAACGCAACATCGGACTTCAACGTTGCATTTGCTTTGTTTCTTTGGGTGACTTCTTCTCGCCTTAGTCCTGCCTTGTGGAGGATGGGCTACCCGCTGATGAGCCTGGATGGAGACTTCGGTCCTGAAGGCCCGAAGCTTTAGCCAAGCCGGAAGCTTCGCCTTGTTCATCGGGTTGTGGTCTTCTAATTCTATCGCCCACAACGCTGTCAGGCTCGGCGCAGTCTATCACAGTGTTCGGAGTTCGGGGGTGTTGAGCCAGGGAGAAGCGACTTGGTCTTGTCGCAGGGCGCATTAGCATCCGCGGGCTGAACAAGGACAACTACCAGATCTGCGGTCTGGAGGATGCTGTCGGGGGCAGGGTCTTGAAGGCTGCATGTCTAACGAGCATGTCATCAGCTGCACACATGTTGATACTACTACAGTACTACATGTTAGTTATACACATCATATATGTATATAAGAATACTTAAAAGACATGTACATATACAAATTATAGACATATATAATATGCACGCATACATGTACCAGGGTTGGCACGTGCTGCACATAGATGGGTCGGGTTAAACAGCTCAACCTTACAACGCCCTACCTTTTTGATCTCCTCGCAGAAGACGGCCTCTGGCGAATGCCAATGCTTCGTCTTGCAACACATCGACGCAGGCCTCCTTTCGCGCGACTGTCGAGCTTTGTCGGTCGTTTGGCCATGCCTGTCGTAAAGACAAATGGAACACTGAGTTGCTGCACATTGTCACATTAGTATGCCTGTTCGGACGCATTAGGACGTCGCTAATCCGAACAGGGTGCCGTAGTGAGGTGCCTTTTTAGTCTAGCCTGTGCTTGATGTAGGATTGCCTGGAACCCTACTGCTCTTTGCGGCATACTGCAATTCAATTAAGTAGCGAAACATGCTGCAGCACTGCGAACAGTTGTCGAGTGTGATGGAGGAATTGCCTTAAGATTGAACGTGACAGGGCTTGTTCTGGGCGCTCTCTTCGCCATTCGCCTTCACAGCAGGTGCCCTTCCGGTGTAGCAGACTGAGTAGTGGCATTCTCGTCAGTGATGCTGGGATAGACGGATCGTGGCTGCAATTCTTTAGGAGTCCTCGGTGGATTGAAGCATAGCTGCTCAGCCTCCACTAAATGCGCCATGCGTGTGACTGCTCATGTTGAAAAAGCTAAAAACCTTGCTCAAGGTTGGCACAGGAGCGACGGCTAGCTGAGCAGGCGAGCGGTCATTTTTCAGTTTTTGCCAATGCTGATTGAACGAGGCGTCGGATATTGTGAGCGGGTGGGTCGGTCCACTAGTTACACAGCTACCCCGTGCTTCGCGGGGCTAGTCCGTTTGGCTGCGGGATACGCACTTGCCTCGTGTTGACAGGCAGCCGCCGAAAATGCAGAGAGCATTCGAGGCTGGTGTTGTCTTCTCAAGTTTGCATGTCCAGAACAATTTTCGGATGCCACTTCCCACCATGAGGGCCAGAACCGAGCAAGAGTTTGGAAGTACGTTCACAGGAGCTGACTGACTGTGTTTCTGGGATTCAAGATGGTTCAGGGGATTCAGAGGCTGCAGAATCGAAGCTGCACTGCATATGTTAACCGCAGAGACGAAGACAAGAGTAAGAGGGCATGATGTCAGATCATGTGTGTTTTTGCGCACACTTGTTCGTGCCCAGCTGCTGCTCAACTACAGCCGCCTGTGGCATCGGAAGGACACCCGCCGAGTGGTTCGGAACGGTACAAAGCTTGGGTGATCAATTGCTACCCAACCCTACCGAAGATTCAATATTCTCCGGCTGTGATCTCCTGGTGGTAAGAGGAGCTTTGTCGCATCGCCACCAACTGACTGGGTCGACTGGAATGTCCTTATCTGTTGGGATTTAGGATGGATTTAAGATCCAGGGCTTAGTGTCAATGTTGCATTTGCAGTGGACCGGGGGGGCGGTGGCTGAGTAGAGCTCCATCACGATAAGGCGGAAAGAATTCATGAGCGTGTCGGAGGAGCATCTTTCCAGAAGCGACTGGTTTGTGTGCCAAGCTCAAGCGTGCTGGAGGATCCGAAGCCGACATGCCACCTCCTACACCGTCGCAGGCCGACACCAGCTTCAGCCGTCCTGCTCTGTAAGCACTACAGGCCACGCGACTACCTGAACTCCATTTGGTGAAGCGTTGAAGATGTGCCGCCGCATGTTCACAATTCCATTCCCCGAGTCCAGTGCCAGACTATTGTCAGGCTGATGCCTCCGAAGAAGCCAGCTGAAAGGGAACGTGATGGGACACTTTGCCACAATGCTCCATGTATCGAGGCGCAGATGTCGCGGAGCAAAGCTTCCAGGTCAGACAAACTTCCAGATCTCTTCTGCTTGCAGCAGTTTGGAGATGATGCGGGATCGCTTCTGATCACGCCGGCAAAAGTGCAAAGAGCACAGCTTGATTATGAGCAGGACATCCCCTGAGAGTCACACTCAGAGTCAAAAGGCAGGAACACCGGATGCTGCTTCGGAGAGGATCGCTGCTGTACGCTGGCTCAAAGGTTGGTTTTGTCATTACCGCTATGCTTGTTATCATGTTTGTGACAGAGAGGCTGAGGAACCAGTTCAGCACGCATCACATGTCTTACGAACTCAGTACGACTTCAAACTAACTGAACTTCTGTTCGTGTTGCACTCCGAGCTCTGTAGACGGCACGCTGTCGCGCCCTGGTCACCACTGCGTTCGCTCCAGCTTCGAACCTCAGTTCAGGCGCATGAAGCACTACCTTGCTTGGATTGGGGAGCTTTGGGAATTGCTGCACTCTGTCACCCCAAGCAACCTGAAACGAAAGGCTGTAGCGTGTCACAGTGCTGCTGACTGCAGACAGACGTGAGAGGAGCGAGCTGTTTGCACAGACAAAACTGATGGACGGATGTGCGGTTCAGCCTTCAAACTGCAGGGGAGGCCGTCGGAGTATCCCACAGAGCAAGCTTAGAGAGAGCAGTAAAACAGCCCGAAGGGCTTCAGATCGAAGTCTCTGTTCATACATTTCTGTGCTGCCTGTGCGTATCAGAGCAAGTGTTGCTTTTATGTGCTTCGGGCATTGCTCCCTTAGAGGCTATACTCCATCACGACAAGCGCCACAAGCAATCTCTTCCCAAGCTCACACAATGCCTTCAACCCTCCTGGGACCACAAGGAAGACGTCGCTCCCCTGCTGTCCCTTCCAACCCCAACAGCGACATGAGGTAGTGACAGCAAGAAGCCGAAGGGTAGTGGCAAGGGTGGCAAGAGAATGGGTGACAGTAGTCTTGCTGTGAGCAAGTAGACACCGGCACCCATCTCTCATTGCTGTGCTGCTGCCGCTGCTCCTCAGGTTGACAAAGCCTCACGTTGAAGGAATGACTTGCTGGTTTCCCTTTTGCGGAAGACCTCCTGCTTGCACAGAAAGCGCAGAAAAGCAACTGCGCCGATCTTTTCGGCACAGCCGAGTGAAGCCACCCCAGCAAGCGAATGGTGGGATGCTGTTCAAGCAGAAGAGGATTTTTTTTTGAGAGGCCATGCAGCTTGAACTTCATGTGCGAACGCTGGGGTACGAAACTTGCGTGCTGACGGCACCTTGGTGGCAATGCAGGCAGGTTTCGAAATCCAAACTTTCTCTATCCGCGGCAATCACCTTGTTACGGGAAATGGTTTTAGCAGCTTCAGGTCAGTGAGAACGACTTCGCCGAGATAGTGTTCAAGCAGTTGGAGAACAAGTGCCTCGAGACACATTGTTGCAATCTGCGGAACTCTGAAAGGATGCTCCGGGGATGTCTTGCACTATGAAGCTTTGTGATTCTACTTTGTGGCCAATCGTTGAGTTAGCCATGTGCCCTCCTTGAAGGTACGGCATCCCCTCCGCACAGCAGCGTGTTCTCTACGAAGGCCAGGCCTGCCGAACATGCAGATCAAACGGTCTCTCAAGGTCCCTTTATCCTTCGACAGTCGTCTCTCCAGCTTTCTGAGGCTATGACGGGTATACCGCCGATCTACAGCGTGGCCGCAGGCTGAAGGACACGTCATGTGACCGTCTCTGCGCATGCGCGCACGCAGCGTTCAGCACTTGGGCCGTGAGGAATTCAAGCTGGCACCGCAAGTTCGCTTCATCCTGGCAAAAGTGCTGCCAGCGAAGCCGAAGGCGAGCGACGAGCGGCGAGCACGCACAGCCAGCTTCACTGACAGACTGTCACTGTGTTGTTCTGTTGGTGTGCCTCTACACGTTCGGCCTAGAAGCTGTCAGATGGTCGCCCCGGACCTCAGCTCCGAGTGGCAGCCGTCCAGGCGGAGGGCCAAGGCGGGCAAAGATGTGATTCTGACTGGAGTATGTTGGAGACTGCAATGTGGCAGCATGCTGCGGGTAATGCCATGTATAAGAAAGCTTGCCCTGGTTTGCTTTGCTGAATTGGGGCTGTCTCCGCGATCTATATCTGCTTGGGACACGAGGCGCGAGGGCCTCGCCACTGTGTGCGGGCGCCAGTTTCTTCGTTCCATGGGATATATAATAGTGCGGCTTGCTGCAATCGTTGCAAGGACTGTGCGCACGTGCCCCCACGCAACCACGCAGACAGATTGCTCGTCGGAGCGTTCGACGGTTCGAGTCAACCGGTTCTGAGGTGAACCGCTTGCCACCTCGTCCTCGCAAGCCTGCGCCGACGTTGAAGGAGGCCTTTGCGTTTAGCGACCCCGCTAGACATCGGAAGCAGCACTACTGGTTGCCAACATGATCCAATGTCATATTTGCACAAATTTGGTGCTGGCAGGTGCAAGACTCGTTGCGAGCACCAGAGGCCAGATGGATCCATGTGTTGCGCAGGAAGGGAGCATCCAAGAGCCCACGAAGTGCTCACGTCTTGTCATGGGATCTGTCATGACCTGTCGTTCGTGTGAATTCAAAACTGCAACCTGAAAGACTGACACCGGCGACACAAGTAGACTCCCGCGTCCCAGGTCCCGGTCTCTCAGGAGCGCAAGGCCAGCCCCGCGAAACAGCCTCGCGAGGCAGCGGATGCGTTTGACAGCGTTGGCAGTTGGATGAGCAGCACAAGGGTGAAGTATGATGACGGATTTCTGGTAGTGCTTGAACAGGTTCCTTCGTCTCCTACACCGCCGAACCGACCAGTGCCGCGTGTAAATGGCAACGTTGAGGAGACAGGCC